ACACTTTAGCTCTTTAAATCATGATTAATCTGGTACCGTTAATTGTGATTATCTAAGATTTTATTTTTGCAATAAAAATTAAAATTTAACACTGGTTCAAGAATGCTAAACATAGGGAGTACACTCACAAGAGTATATATGCACTTGTGTGGTTTTAGTGATTAATTTCATGTAATTTCATTGAAAAATGAACTTGTAACTGATTTCATAATCATGAGAATAGATATGGATTAGTTATGAGTATAATTGATTCACTACGAAAGTAGAATTCATATGCATAAGGAAATTACACCATAATTAACCTAAATAGTAGTACTCAATGATTCAAATATAGCACTTGCATGAGTAGTTAGGGATACCACAATCTAAGGAGATTTTCAATTGTTATTTTGCATAAGTTCAGTAGGTTTCATTTCTTATAATTCATTGATAATATAAATAATAGAGAAATTTTGTAGTGCCGGTAATTGCAATCTTCCCTGTGGGATCGACCCTTAATACTCTATACTCGCTTACGATTCGTATACTTGCGATAAATTACGTGTGGGGTATTTAGGAGTTTATAAATGTAAAACTTGATTGAGATGAGTTTAATGTTATATGTATACCCCGTGTACGTCAGGTTCACCCACTATGAATGGTGTAACTGAAAGACGAAATAGAACGCTTAAAAACATGATAAGAAGTATGATATGTCATTCTACCTTACCAGAGTCACTCTAGGGAGAAGCAATTAAGACTGCAGCATATATCCTTAACAGAATCCCAAACAAAGTAACTATCAAAACCCCTTATGATTTTTGGACAGGGAAAAAGTCCAGTTTACAGCATCTACATGTTTGGGGGTGTCCAGTTGTATAGGCCAAATGAAAAGAAATTGGATTCAAAAATAGTTAGTTGTTATTTTATTAAATACTTTGAAAGATTCAGGAGTTACAAGTTTTATGATTCCACGACTAAATCAATTTTTAAGATAGGAAATGTCCGATTCTTTGAGGATGTCGAGTTTGGGGAAGAAAATACAGTAATGGATATTGTCTTTAAAAAGGAATACATTAATACTCCCACTGGTGTCATTGATCTTGTTCAAGATCCTATTTTTGAATTTGATCATGACATGATAAATTTAAATAATGTCAAAAAATAAACTGTTATAGAAGAACAAACTCTTCTTCCCCAAAAACTAGTGCCATTAAGAAGATCCACTAGAAAAAAGAGAAGTGCAGTGCGAGATGATTACATTATTTTTCTCCAAGAACATGAGGATGATTCTGGATTGATGGAAGATAATCAATCAACTTCTGTTAGGCCATTGAAAGTTCAAATTCTCAAAAGTGAATCGATATCATGAATGAGGAGATTAAATCCATGAAGGACAATAACGTTTGAGATCTTGTCCTATTGCCAAAAGGAGCAAATCCATTAGTTATAAATGGACATTTAAAATCAAAAGAGATTCGAAAGGCAATGTGGAAAGATACAAAAGCTTGTTTTGTCGGCAAGAGATTTACACAAAAAGAAGGTATCGACTATAAAGAAACCTTCTCTCCAGTCTCTTCAAAGGACTCTTTTAGAATTATCATGACATTAATGGAGCATTTCAATCTTGAGTTACATTGGATGGATGTAAATACAGCTTATCTCAATGGTAACATTGATGAAACGATTTATAGGTGCAACCAGAAAACTTTGTATCAGGAGATCCAAAAAATATGATTTGTAAATTTAAAAAATCCAACTATGGGTTCAAACAAGCGTCTTGACAATGGTATTTCAAGTTTCATCAAGTGATAATCTCATTTGATTTTGAAATGAATTTAGTAGATGATTGTATATACCATAAATCCTGTGGGAACAAGTATATTTTTCTGATATTGTACGTTAACGACATTTTGCTTGTCAGCAATGATATGGGTCTATTGCATGAAACTAAAAAAATTCTAACTAAGAATTTTGAGTTGAAAAATCTTGGTGATGCATCTTTTGTGTTAGACATATAGATACATCGGGATCGCTCACGGGATATTTTAGAACTATGACAAAAGGACTATATCGAAAAGATTCTTAAAAGATATGGTATGCAAAATTGTAAATCAGGTGACACTCTTGTGATTAAAGGAGATAAATTTAGTCTTGAACAGTGTCCTATGAATGCTTTTGAGGAAAAAGAGATGCAAAAGATTTCTTATGTGTCAGCAATAGGGAGTCTAATGTATGCTCAAGTATATACGCGTCCGAATATTGCGTACATTATTGGAATGTTGAGTAGATATTTAAGCAATTCTAAATTAGATCATTGGAAAACAACTAAATAAGTCTTACGGTATTTACAAAAAATAAAATATTACATGCTCACGTATTGAAAGTCAAATGAGTTAGAGATTATTGGGTATACTGATTCTGATTATGCTGGATGCCAAGATATTATGAAGTCAGCGTCAGGCTATATTTATTTGTTGGTTGGGGGTGTCATATCCTGAAAGAGTGCTAAACAGTCCTTTATAACATCTTTTACTATGATTGCAGAATTTATAGCTTTTTATTATGTGTCCAACCATGGAATTTGACAGCGAAACTTCGTCATAGGATTACGTATAGTGAATAGTATTAAAAAACCACTCAAAATATTTGTAACAATAAATCAGCAGTCCCATATTCCAATAATAGCAGGAGCTTGACGAAATCTAAACATATAAATATCAAATTCCTGACTATTAAAGAATAAGTACAGAGTGAACAGTCATCGATAGAGCATATCGAGATAGACTCCATAGTTGCGGATCCGCTTATTAAGGGATTGTCATCCAAAATATTTCATGAGCATACTGCTCGTATGGTTGTCATTTTATTAAATGATATACAATTTTAGTGGGAGTTTATTATTTTAAATGCTCATATGATATTTTTCGATTGTTAATGATTTAAGGATATTTGATGAATAAATAAAGTTTGGATTTATTTATACCCTGATTTTGATATGATTTGATCTCGTGAAAATTTAAGATAGACTTGTTGGAAATAGACATGTTTTGATCACATTACATGAAATTTTAATGCTACACATCTACATCATGATTCATGTCATTCAATTATATCAATATATGTGACCATTGATGGGTCAAGTTACGAAATTGTAACAAATGCCACTTTGATCCTATGTTGGTATGATTGATAGACCGAATTGGTTATAGATACATTATGATAAACTTAGGGAATACACTCACGAGAGTAGAGGTGCACTTTTGTGATTTTAGTGACTTGTTTCATGTAGTTTTTTTTTTTTAAAAATGAACTCATAGTTAATTTCATAACCACGAGAGTAGGTGTAACTTAGTTACAAGTAGGGGTGGGCAAAAATACCCGCTGACCCGAAAATCCGAGAGATCCGACCCGATCCGCACCGAAAAATAGGATATCCAATCCGATTTCTCTTAGCGGATCAGATAGGGTCGGGTATCCGGAACATTCGGATACGGGTACGGATCGTAAAAGCCAAAACCCGCGGGTACCCGACCCGGGGGTATAATATATAAATATTAAAAAATATAGGGGCAATTTTATAATTTTTTAAGTTATTAACCCTAGGTTCCTAACCTTCAGATTTCATCCTCTGCTTCAGCCGTCGACACTCTTCACTCTTCAATGGCCGATGCTCTTGTCTCTCAAACCTAGGGCCGAAAACTACCGTTAAAACTCCTCAAACTGCCTGATTGAATCGAATCCCTTTCTCTTCAGCCCTGTTTCTCCGTTGTCGTCCTTTTCTACCTTCGACTTCGAGTAAAGGGACGCTGCCAAAAGGTCGCCTGACACCGCCGACGCCGGAGCGGGTGGTTTAGCTATCAAGGTTTTTCAATAACTATTTTCTTTTAAGTTCAATTCTTTCTGCAAAACTATTCTGCATCTATGTGTATTGTGTACGTCTATGCATTTGTCGAATTGGCTACATGAATTCTGATCTTTCGTCCAAATCGAAACTGGGTTGTACAATTAAGATTAGGAATTGCTGGACCCATACAGAAAAAAGAAAAAAAACCAAAATGGGGGTCGGCAATCGGCATAAATGGTACAGGTACGGAAACAAATTCTGGCCATAATTTTCCATGGAGATACTCTCATGGCTTTGACATTTGAGGTCTTAGACCAACTCTCATAGGCTAGTTGTTCATTTGCAGAGAGTTTTACTTTACATGGCTTTTTCTGTACTTTTGGTGGACTGTTGCACGCATATGCGTAAGGCTTAGGTTATGTTTTGAAATTCAAGAACGGTGGGAGAAATTGTGCCTAAGGTTCTGAAAAATAAGAACATACTGCACTTTGTCCTGAGTTTCTAATTAAGAAAAAATATTCAATTAAATGCTTCACAAGTGTGTCCATGTACCGTAATCAGCTCTAATGTCTACAAGACGAGTTCAAACCAAAAATTCAGATTAAACCAAAAACTTTAAGTTGTAAATTACACAGTTATCCAACTAAGGTTTAAAGAGATATGATGTACCATAAAATTTACTGATTCTAATTCTCAAGAATATTATTGATTCTTGCATATAGATACTAAGACATGAACAAACACTGGAAACTCTACATCGTTCATTATTTTCCTCCAGTGCAATGTAGCTGCATAATTACTTTAGCTTTTTTGTCTAACATAATTCAATTCAATGTGCAAATTCTAAGATAATACCTCTATACCTGCTGAAGTTGTAATAGTGTAAAACTCTTTTTTTTTTTTGAGATTATTGGTTTGCCTTTTCTTTTCATACATTGGACATTTTTCCCCCTTTGGGTTTAGCTACACTTTGCACTCAATATTTAAATTAGCAGGCCAAGCAACTGAGGATTGTGAGCAATTTTTTGTTATTGTTCTTAAGATTATTCCAACTGCCCTTTTCTTTCTAAAATGAATCTGCACATGGTTTTATAGGAGTTTCTGAGCTATGTATTAGCTGCGCATATGGTAGAGAAGTGGGATTTTCATTTGATTTGTTTTTTGAATTTTTCAGATGTCAAGTACAGGGGATAATACAGCTACTACAGCTGCAAGCCCAAATGTTGATCATTCATCATCAATGGATCCAAAAATTGTTGTTGGAGCTTCTGAAACTGAGACAAGTCAAGTACCACCTCCTCTAACATTCGAGACAAAAGTGTCTACCAAGAGCAGTAGGTCTTGGGTTTGGGAGCATTATGCAGTTGTTACAGGTACGGAAACAAAAGACAAGAAAGCTGCTTGTAACTATTGTCACCAATTGATTGCCTGTGCAAGCAAAAATGGTACTACTTCTTTGAGTAATCACCTTCATAGGTGTAAAAAATATCCGTATAATAATACGGATAAAAGGCAAAAGACGCTGGAGTTTAAAGCAAAAGAGGGAGGGGGAAAAGCATTAACAACCCATATGTTTGATCAAGAATCATGTAGGAGAATGTTGGCTAGGATGGTGATTATAGATGAACTACCTTTTAAATTTGTGGAAAGGGAGGGATTTCTGGATTTTTGTCAGTTTATGCAGCCACGGTTTGAAATGCCATCACGTAGAACTTTAACTAGAGACTGCCATAAGCTTTTTTCAGATGAGAAGAAAAGTTTGAAGGCATACTTTGAAACTTTATCCTCACGAATTTGTCTCACCACTGATGCTTGGACATCCATTCAAAATCTGAATTATTTGTGTTTGACAGCTCACTTTATTGATGATAAATGGAAATTGCACAAAAAGATTTTAAATTTCTGTCCTATTACAAGTCATGCGGGTGAAGTTATTGGTCGGACAGTAGAAAAATGCTTGCTTGATTGGAAAATTAGTAAAGTTTTGACTGTTACGGTAGACAATGCTAGCTCAAATGACACTTGTTTGCAATATTTGAGAAGAAGGCTTATTAATTGGAAAGGTACTGTCTTAAATGGAGAATACTTGCATATGAGATGTGCTGCCCATGTTTTGAATTTGACGGTTAGGGAGGGATTGAAAGACTTGGAAGACTCTATTGTTAGAATTCGATCAGCTGTGAGATATGTTAGGTCTTCACTTGCTAGAGCTCAAAGATTCAAATCTTGCATAGAAAAAGAAAGAATCGAAAGTAAAAGTCTTGTATGCCTTGATGTTGAAACTAGGTGGAACTCCACATTTTTAATGTTAGAGGCTGCTCTAAAATTTCAAAAGGCATTTGAGTTGCTAGAAACTGTGGATAGCAAATATGTCGAAGAGTTAACTCCACAAAGTGAGAATGATACTCGTAGGAGTTCTAAGGTGAGGGGTGTGCCAACTGAAATGGATTGGGAGTATGCCAAAGATTTATTGCCTTTTCTTCAAATTTTTTATGATTCTACTGTGAAAATGTCAGGCTCACGTTATGTGACAGGAAATGTATATATGAATGAAATTTTTGGCATTAGTGGTCTTCTTAATTCATTTCAAGAAAGTGATGACTTTGGTTTGTCAACTATGGCTGGGAATATGAAGAAAAAATATGATAAATATTGGGGTAATGTGGAAAGGATTAACATATTGATTCTGATTGCTGTTGTTCTTGATCCCCGGCATAAACTAAGTTATGTTCAATGGGCAATTGATGAGGCATATGATCCTAAGAATGCTGAAATGTTAAAAGTTAAGGTGGAAAAAGTGTTACATTCCCTATTTGACTTTTATTCTGCTGAAAAATCACCTCATAAGGAAGTAATAAGTCAAAATCAGTTGAGGGAAATGGATAAAATGGATGTTGATGCAATTACAGTTAAAGGGGCATCAGATTACATGCATGCAAAGTATTCTCAAAAGGCTGATACATTGGATAGCACTCACAATAAAACGGAATTGGACATCTATTTGATGGAAATGAAGGAAGATTTTCACAGTCCAAACTTTCACATATTGGATTGGTGGAGAGATAATGCTCATAGGTTCCAAATTCTTGCTGCGATTGCTAGAGATGTATTAGCTATTCCGGTGTCTACTGTTGCCTCCGAGTCTGCTTTTAGTACGGGAGGGCGTGTGTTGGATTCTTTTCGAAGCTCTTTAACTCCAAGAATGGTGGAGGCTATAATTTGTGGACAAGATTGGCTTCGCAAGGGTATTCAACCAATTGATTTGGAAGAAAGTATAACTGAACTTGAAGAAATGGAATCGGGTAATACTTTTCATATCTTGTCAATTGTTATCATTGCATTGCAAATTTTCTTATTCATTTGAGTTTCAACTTGTGCTAATATATTTCTTGGTTGCTTTTATTTTTGGAATTTTTTTTTTCAGGTTTGACAATGGAGCATTCTATTATTAATATTGAAGATTGATGATTCTTGAAGATTGTGCTCCTTCATGTGTTGTAGAAGGTTGAGATTGTTGAAACATTTGAGGTTGTTGAAACTGTCATGGCATGGCTAGGGGAGGAAAATGAAGACAGCTTCTTGATTTATGCCTAGTCAATGCATTATGCCATGTTTGCTGGATTTGAGAATGTCTATATAGTGTACATTTTTCTCATTTATATGCCCTTTTTGGAAGTTATGTATCAGAGTAGATATTTCTAACTTTATGATTTAGTGTGGAACTACTGCTACTGATCATTTTTTAGATTTGAATATGCTTTGTCTTTGTCTAGTTTGAATTTGAATGATGTTGTTGCCTTTTTTTTTTGTTGAATGATGCTATCGTCCAGCAGGTTCATCTTATGTCTTATGAGTTTTAGAGAAAAATTGCATTCTTTAAATAGGGGCGGGTACCCTATGACCCGCCCCTATTTTTCGGGTATCCGAGGATCGGGTACCCGAGGAAGTTCGGAGCGGATTAGGGTCAAAAAAATAGTGACCCGATATGTTAGGGTCGGGTCAGCCAATTAGAGTTCGGGGCGGGTACCCGACCCGTGCCCACCCCTAGTTACAAGTATAGTTGATTCACTACGAGAGTAGGTTTCACATACATTAGGAAATTACGCCTTAACTAACTAAGATAATAATATTCAATTAACTGATAATTTCATTTGCAAGAGTAGTAAGGAATTCCATATTGGATCCTTAATCCAACATTAGATTTATATGTGAATAATTATGTATTGCAAACTATTAATTAAGGTTAAACCCAATTAAAATGATCAAATATAGTTTGGAATTAATGTATCTAATAGGATGTGGGCCTTTAATGTGAAAAAACTTAAAGGCTCCTATTTCTATGATGGGTTGAAATAGAGTTCCAAAGGCTAACAGGAATGTTACCTATAAATAGCGTTATGGTCCCAAGTCACACGTATTATTATTTTTTATCGTATTTTATAGTACCACAATATATAGTTCTTTCCTGATATCCCATCATTAGGAAAATATCAAAGAGAAACTAAAGAATTCTCTCAAAAATTGGCAAATACGTGTTGACGTGGAAAACCATCCTAATATCTTTGGAGATTCAAATATCAGTTTGTCGATATGAATCCAGATACGCTTCCGCTATTTTACTGTTAATTTATTTCTTAATAATCGCCATATAAATTTTGGATTTAATAGGTGATGGTTTTCACCAAAGATTAAATTTAGATAGCCACCTTAACATCCATACTTTTAGGAGTTTTCTATTGTTATTTTTAGTACTTTTGTTCCATGTTTGTAGCATAGATTTAATCTTTTACATTTGTGATAGTCTAAATAATAAAAAAGTTCGAAAAACATCGATAACTAACAATCTTCTTTGTGAGTTCAACCCTTAATACTCTATACTCAATTTCGACTCGTATATTTGCGAAAAAAATTATGTGTGGGATATTTAGAACTTTATAAATGTAAAATTTGATAGTGAATGTGTTAATTGTTGTGTGTACACCTTGCACTCATCACTTTCCTCTATTGTTGATGCTTTGAAAGCGTGGAGGAATGGTTGCTGAGCTTGCTTCTCTCAAGCATTAATTGTCCAATTGATCTATCCTTCTTATTACCTAAAAATGCTTGCAAACACTCAAAAGCAAATGTAGTCAACAAGAATAGCTGAATCGACACATACATAATTTAAACTCGAAAACAATACACAATATCTCACAAGACCCATAAGACTCAACACACACACACACACACACACACACACACACACACACACAAAAGAAACTAGACTCAACAAATTCACAAGAAAAATGAGTAAAATATCTAAACTAATAAAGTCATTCTTCGTACCGATATTGTTACAAATCTTCCCCAACAATGGCACTGATAACTTAAGTTAGGGGTATGCATATAATAATAAACTCAATCCAGAGTCAAATTTTATGTTTTATAAATTTTCAAATACTCAACACGCTATTTTTCACAAGTATACGAGTCATGAGCAAGTATAGAGTATTAAGAGTCAAACCTATAGGGAAGATGGTCTAATGCTAACACTACTAAAACTTCTCTATTATCTAGAATCTCGAAAAATTAAGAAAAATAATCTAAGCTGCAAAAAGGTAGAGAAATTGAAATGAAAACTCTCCAAGTTTTGGAATCTCTATTTACTCATGCTAGTACAACTCCCCAATTAAATGAATACCAAAACCTTCACTAAGTAATGATGTAATTTCCTAATGTTCATAATATCTACTTTCATTAGTGTACCAACTATACTTATAGTTAATTTATACCTACTTTCATGATTATGAAATCAACCATAAGTTCATTTACTCTTATACAATAATATGGAACAAAGGCACAAAAGTGTATCTCTACTTTCATGAATGTACAATCTAGGTTTAACATTTTCATGAACTGGTGTCAAATTTCAATTCTTATTAGAAATCTAACACATTGAAATGATCATAATCAATGGCCAATTAATCATAATTATAAAAAAAAAGTTCCAAATAACTCAATCAAGATAATAGCATCAATTAGCCAAACCATCAATACATAGCATTCATGGATGATTCAACCAAAACCCAAGGCATAAATTTTAAAGTAACATCACAAACATAAGATCCAATCCTTGTATTAACAGAACTTAGAAGTCAATACAAAGATCAAGAGGTGGAAAGAAGAAAACCCTTATCAATAGAGTCTTTGAGCGTCTCTTTCTTCATCTCCTTTGGTCTTCTTGTTAAACTAATGTGAGAATAGATAAACAAAAACTAGAATATACTATACTATTGTACACTAAAACAAGAAGAAATGAAGAGAACTACATTTGATAAGGGATTGTGTCTTGCCTCTAAGAGCAAGACACAACCCTTTGGCTGTTCTTCTTTTCTCTCAAACTAACTAAAACTAAAGCTTCTTAAAACTAGAAGAACTAAGTACTATATATTCTTAGTCTTGCTTTTTGGAGCCAAAAGGTCAATAAGAGAAGATTCTAGAACCCCTCAATACAACTGCACTTCATCCCTTTGTGTCCCATCAAGAATGGAGAAGAAATAAAAAGCCAAGCAAGTTGGCAAGTTGTAGCTGACAAGAAATGCTCGGGGTTTTCTTAGAAACCATGCAGGATTTGTGTAGGATCCCTCGAGCAATTCTATAGCAATTTGTCTTCCCCTATTTTTGTTGCTTGAATTGAATTTTCTACCTACAATCCCTTGCAGAAACCACCAAAACCATTGACGGGTTTCTCTTCCTCAGTTTTTTTATGACTTTTCATTCTTCATCTTTTCAAGCACTTGAGTTGTACCACTTCTTTTAACCATTGTTGTGATTTCTCAAACCTCTAATCATTACCTTGTTAGTCCACCATTTCACTCCCAATTCAGGTTGGTCATTTTACCCTACAAAAATAAAGAGATTTTGTGAGTAAAATAACTCATCACAACTATTTCATCTATCAATTCAAGGTGCAAATTGGGAGCTAAAATGAGCAACTTATACCATTTAACTTCACAAATTGACACAAAGCAATTTAAAGTGCCTAGGAAAATATCCGTAACTTAAACTCTTATTGGCGTAAATAAATATATAAGGGAACACAATTATTCCTTATTTTGTTGGTGTAAAATTCCTTTTCTTTTCAAAAATAGACTATTTGAACTACAGATTTAATAGAGAACAAGAAGAATTTTGGTGCAAAAAGTAATCAAATTTTTAATTATTTATTTTATTTGAAAGTTTTTGTGTAAATTCTACTGGGAACGCAAGCACACAAAGAAATAAGAAATCTTGATATGACCAATCATTTAGGTTATAAGTATGTTCTAAGTATGGATTAATATGTCAACCATCAATCTCTAATAGGTTACTAATAAGTTAATCATCTTGACCCATCGATTGACCCAATATGACCCACATATATGTCATAATCTTGTTGAGCTAATTGTGATACAAATATTTTTGTGTCATGTTTCGATCAGGTTTTCCCCGTATCATGTGATAACTGACTATCATATGCTATGGAAGACATTTGATGTTACTTTTAGTCACTTTTGCAATGTTATAAGAAGAAAATGGTCCATTTTTGCTAGAATTGATTCTAAATGCTACTTAGTACTTAAATAAGATTTTTGCCCCTATTACTCGCAAGTTTTTGGTTGTTTTGTAGGAGTTGGAATGGACTTCATTTTAAACAAGAAATAAGTTTGTATTATTTTAATTGAAATCTTATAGTTTGTGAGGATGGTAAGTTTCAAAGGTGGTTGAGACACAAAAATAAGAAAATGATAAAACTTATCGAAAGAGAAAGTCGGTTCATATCTGTTCCAAGAATCCTTGCAAGGATTGCTAGAGGGATTCAATGCAAAATTTTTTGGCGAAATCCAAGAATCTTGCTAAAATTCTAGAGCAATTGCAAGAGAGATTCTAGTCAAATATTGTGGTTACAACTTGCACAACTTGATTTTAACTCTATTTTTTATAAGCATGTATTTTTTGTATTTTAAGTGTGTTTTATTCATTTGTATTGCTAATTAACTAGATTTCTAGTGAATTATGTATTTTGTGGTTCAAAGTGTGAAAAATTGGATTTCAATGTGTTCAAGTGGCGAATACCTCATGTTTTTGTAGATTTTAATGATTCAATCATCAAATGAAATGAATTGAGAAGATATTTTGATGATTGTTGATTATTTGAAGTGATTTACAGAGAATATGAAGTGTAAAATGTTCAAAAGATGAAATGCAATCAAGTATAAAAGAAGAAATGTTTGATAGCTTTGACACCTTTTGATATTTTGGCTATCTCTTGAGCAAAAAGTATCAAATTGAGATGATTCTTGAGGCATTTTGTAGCTAAGACATGATTTAAAATTTTGATGAAGTCATCAAAATCTAGTTCATGCAATTTTTTGGTCAAAAAGTCAAAATACAGTCAAACAAATTTGTTGTCAAAAGGTGAAATAAGAGATTGACCATTCAAGGAT